CCACTCACCCCTCGACCGAAACTGAATGGCCGCCAAAACTTTTAAGACGATTCAGTAGTAGCCTCCCCACAGACGTCCCTTGGGGTTCGTTTGTCACGCATTCATTTCTCCCCCACGGACGTCAGAAATGAATGCGTGACAAACGAACCCCAACGGACGTCTGCGGGGAGGCTAATTCAGTAGCTGAAGGATTGAACTACACAATGATATGCAGGAGAGTCTGTCAGTGTGAGCGACTTATGAGATTTAAAAAAGGTCGAGTTTGATCGTCCGGGTGAACGTAGTCCTGAATAGGACTGTTGTTGTTGACCGTGACTGACGTTTCGACAACCTGTGTGGTAGTCATCTTCAGAGTCAAAGTGAGTTGTATCACGTCAGTTGATGGTATTATACTCTGGTTATTGATCTGATTGGTCAATTATGTCGCGATGTTATTGGTCGTCTGTCAGTTAAACCGTGGTGTTATTGGCTATGAAGACTCGTAATCAGTAATTGGTGCGTTTCGATCCGTCTATTGTCACATACAGTTAAACAGTCGTCTATTGCTAGTCAAATTGTCAGTTCTCCAGTTGTTCTCTCGTAGTTAGTTTTGCTTGATCTCGTCAATAAGTCGTCTGTACGGCGCTGGTAACTGTTGGCTACAATTCGGTGGCGTTTGTTCTAAGTTAGTAAATCAGCTTTCTAAAGTAAGACGTTGATAGTAGTCTGTAGAATACGTTATACAGGTCGCAGAGTCCCAGTCAATTTGATGTTTCGTCTTTCACTGATTACGTCTCCCGCGTGCTACGCAGCTAGGGTAGTGCTATACAACTAAACCTGCCAAAAAGCTATACAAGGCAATTTACTTTGCTGGTCCTATATTTTGTTACTGGTATTTTAGATTCGAACCAGGAGTCGAACTCAAAATATCCTGTCCTTCCCAACTGGGGATTCACACACGATTTCACTGAATTGTTGGCCGGCGAGGTTGCTGGAGCCGGAGAAGCGGGGGGGAAGGGGGGACTTATCGCATTGCTTAGATGCAAAGCAAGTAAAGCTTGTATCAGAGGGAGTTTAGGGGGTGGAGGGGTTATGGTAGGGAGCTGTGGTAAGAAAGGGTTAGTGTGATCTGTGTTAAAAAGTGGGGAGGGCACGGTAGACAATTGAATTCTGCAAAGCTGTTCGTACTACGTGATCACTACAGATCACTCCGGATCACTTTCTGTCTTATCTGTCAAGAAAGCAAACATTATCACTGGAAGCCGGGTCTTCCACTTTGTATATTTTCACGTTTTGTATTCATGAGAGGACTCAACACCCGGAACTCTAAGCTTTATGATTGTTAGGCTGAGCGATGCCGTGATAGAATAGAATGTGAAAAAAACTCCACTGGTTAAAGAGTTATTCAGCTTTAATTTTTGAATACAGAGTTCTACCATTCCGCAATGTTTGAGCTCAAACGAATAAAAAATGTGAAAGTAGTTCCTAGGTTGCAACTTTTTGCGTCCTATGGGCCCTGGGTGAACCCAGATCCTGACCTCAAATGCAGCGAACGTAAACAATTCTCCTCGCATCATTAAACGTTTCTGGGAAACTACCCACCTACCCCTCCCGTGAGCTAACATTTTGCCATAAGTGAAAAGTAAGTGTTAATGTAAGCTTAGGGGAGGGGTAGTTGGACAGCTTCCCAATAACGTATAATGATCCGCAGATACTTCGAAGACAAACCTGCTCAGTTGTCAGAGGGAAAATTCTCAAAATTACAAGTAACCGATTGAAAATGCGAAATTACATGTAAAAAAAACTAACATGATTAAGATCGCTCGGAGCGTTGTTAACTGCTACCAATATACGTCACCGTGGAAATTTGAGAAGTAAAGGAAGATGGACAGTAGGTGAATGTAATTTCTTCAGTGTATTTTTGGAACCCCTGAGAAATCCTGGCTAATGTAAAAGTACACCGTTTGTCGGCTTTCAGCCGGTGGTAAAGTGATGTGTCCACCGCAAGCTGCTCCCTCAGTGGATATATCACATTACCTCTCGCTTCAGGCCGATAGTGTCTGGTCACTAAATTTATATCTGGAGGGAAAAGAAGACGTTTTGACTTAGAAGTCACTGGTACCAACCTCTTTTCTTTCAATGGCTTCTCACGAAAAAAGTCTCTATCCATGAAATAATTATTTTTGTAATGTGAGCATTTCCTTAATCTCTCGAAACCGCCATAATTGTTCTTTTTATTCTTCTCTGCCAGTTCCCTCGGAAATAAAGATCAACCAAGATATGCCTTGACGTACGCCAGACGAAATATTCATCTCAGTGACCATTGATGGATCCCTTGAAGTTGGCACGAGCTAAATCTTAGTGCACCGTTCTGTTAAACTGGACTGAAGTAAATTACTGAGTTTGTAGAATGGGCACTTCCGTCATAATAGTTTGCTACTGCGAGATAATGTTCCTCGTGCATCTTGAAGTACGAGAAGTGGGTTGCTCCGTTTGTTGATACTTTTTGAAAGGTATCAAACAGCTTACCATTCCACTGATAGATTGTAGAGTCCAACTGGTGAGTTCCATCGTAATAATTAGCAAAGGCAAGAAAGTGTTTGTTACCGATTGAAAAGTACTCGAGGTCATATGCCCCTCTAGTTTGTAGGGTCTGGCACAAAGAGAAACTTCCAGTTGACTCGTCTATCTTGTAGATCATGGAGCTTGTCTTTGTTTTCTTAATGTCACCTTTGAAGTTGGCGAAAGCAAGAAACAGACTTCCGTTAATGGTGAAATGTTCCACAGCTACTGCTCCTCGGGTTGGAAGATCTTGAAATTTCTCGAAAAAGTGGAAACCAGTGGAGCAATCTTCGCCAATTGGAAACACAACAGACAGAATATGTTAAATTTATCAACATTTTAAAGTGAGTTATTGAGCTGGAAAGCCTATGTGATTGCAAGGAACAAGTTGACATAAGATCAGGCCCAATTATAAAGGCCTGTGTAATTTCCTACAATGTTCATCATATACGGCCAGTACAACATGTACATAAATTAAACGATATTTCATATCATGAAATTTTCTTACCGGCTGAACAAAAGGCTGATTTAATCGACGATAAGCTCTGAAATTCAGAACAAAAACAAAATATTAAAAAAGAGGAAAGCATGACACAAAGTTTAAGCCGTTGGGGGTTTGGGTCAACCTCATCTCCGTGGCTTTTTCCTGAAAAAAGCCGTGGAAACGAGGTTGGGGGTTCCTAACATACGCCACTTGCACATCTCCCGTAATGCCCCCCAAAATTTTGCATGACTTTTGTTTTTCAATTTTCCTGGGTATTACAGCCGTCCAAAGAGAAATTGAAAAAGCAATGCTTATGCAACATTTTGAGGGGCAAATAAGGTGCATTATGGGATAAGAATGTGCAAGTTGCGTATTCAGAGCTCAGCCATGTTTATCCCAGTTCTTTACAAACGGCAAACAAACGGCATAAGGGAAGGGCACCCAAAATAGGGGAAGTTATAGTTCTTTAATCAAAGTGTAAGACGACGATTTCGTTTTTTTCTTTCTTTTAGTTTCATAATTTTGATAAGTAATGTCACGAAACGAGGCAAGTTATACTTACACCCACCAAATTACTCTATTGTACTAGTAAGGGTAAACAAAAGATTTTTTTTCTCTCTTCCACGTGAGTTTTTCAACTTCTTGGAGACAGGAGTGATAACCTACCATAAATCTAGCGCTAACTGTAGAAAAAACAAAAATTCTAAATTTCAAGTACCGAATATCATATCACGAACATTTATAGATCAATAAATTTATCAAAAAAATATTTTGGTAAGATATCAAATTATTGCCAAAATAGCGAGAAAAATAGACTTTAAAACTTTGAACAGATCTGAAGGAAAGATTAACCAGTGCCAGTTGACTGTACTAACTTTACCTTAGCATCACAAGATCCTGGAATACCTTTTTCTCCTTTTGGCCCTTTGACTCCAGGAGATCCTTTCTCGCCCTGAATCAAAATGGCCAAAATTAGCAATATAACACATTTGGAAAAGTTAGTTTATAAGCGAGAGCTCATCGTTGTTTCATTTTTCTTGTAGCGATACATGTTGCACCAGTTTCGCTTTATATCGTATATAAAGGCCGCATTATTTAGATTACTTGAGGGAAGTAATATAGTCTTCGTAAATTAATTTGAAAAAATTTGTTTAAACTTTGTTTACAAGTTCAGCACAACACTGGTTCTAAATTGTAGCTTCTGATCACAATCATGTGCAAAAAGCAACGTTTTTGAGCTTATAAAGTTATGAAGGCCTCCTAGGAAGTTTACATTCTGTTTACATTCACCCTGAACAAAAAAGGATTATAAATAAAACCAGGTCAAGCAATGAAATACTACATATACTATAGTCATTCTACTATAAATATGACGACATAGCTGCTTTACAATTTGAAGAGAATACAGCTTCAACATGATGTATGGTGTTTTATCACATCACTTTGCGACTTTAACGGTCTGAATCCCTGCGTTGTAGTACTGTATATGGTGTGGTTCAATTTTGTCCTTAGATAAAATTGTAGTTTCTTTAGTTTCAAACTCATTATCATGCATTACCATAACCAAAAAGAAAACAAAATAGAATTTTAAACCAAGGTTAAAATTGAACCACAACATATGCAACCTCATTAAAGGAAGGAAAAAATTTAATTTATTTTTTCAATCGAGGCACTAATGAACATAAATGCATTATTTGTCTTCAAATGATAATCAATAATCTTTTACTCAAATCTTTCAAACTGGAAACCAGATTCATCAATATTCAACAAGATACTCTGACTTTTACCGACCTCACACCTGTAGAACAAATATTAAAAAATTTTCGATCCTGTTTCAAGGTCCTAGAATATGGAATTCATTACCAAACGACATCAAAAATGCCCCGTCTTTTAGTATATTCAAGCGTGTGATCAAACCATTTTTAAGGGTCAGACAGAATGCAACCTAAATACCTTAACACCTCATATCTATATTTTCCTCTAAACACACTTATATAGTTAAATAAACGACTTTTTTCTTTATTTCTTAAAATGCCCCCCTAGTATTTAAATTGCCCGTGGGGGGAAATCTTTATTCCTCATAAGCTCGGCTTCTCGGAGATTTCCCCGCCACAGTCACTCCTCCCAAGTAATGCACAAATTTTAAATTTAATGTTAGTTAACCTATTTATTATCGTTTTTATTCTGCTTGTAATTCATTGTTTGTGGCAAAATAATAAAATAAATAAATAAATAAATAAATAATAAAATTTTATGCAACAATTTAGCCTCACATAGGTTATGAGTACAGTAATGTGGAAAGAGGCTAGGAACATGGAATCGAGGGTACTGATTTGGCGTCTTTAGGTAATGTCGTATTCATTGATCGTCGTATAATGGATGTCGCGTTCTTGATCTCGTTGACAAACAAAAATTTTTTCATCAGCCCTCCTCCTCCCCATTCCTGCCTCTTCTTTGTTCTATGGTTTGTATTTTTCAAGCGGTTGATTGCCCTCACCTTCGCCGGCCATACGTGTTTAATGAAATTTTCAGTTTGTATTGTATTAGATTTTCAGAGTTTAATATACCGGCTATGTGCAAGTTTCACATTTCTGCATCATGTTGTTTGTATTGCCTTTTTTCCAACAGAGCACAGCACATATTTTATTCTGAAAAAGGTTTGCCATTTTGTGGGGAGATTGAAGCATAAATATAAAGAAAAGTAATATTGCCACTATTTTGGAGAAACAGAGTGTATGGATAGCAGCAGTTCCCTATGGTGGTGGTCTCGGGGGAACGCCGGGTACTCCTGTATATGACTCTGGAACAGGGTGCACTTTACCCCATAATCTCCATAATTCTCGATCAAGTTAGGTGCGACTTGATGTAGGTGAAGAATAAACAATTACGAGACAATGTGACGTGACGTGTTTACAATTTTTGGCGTACAATTATTGTCTTGAACAAGGTCGTAAATTCATCTCTTTTTATTTGGAGCAGGTCCAGAGTCGCAAATACAGACTTTTTATTGTATGGATGTTAGAAAATAAAGACCTGTTTCAGATTTACCACCAAACAGCCTGTTCTTGTATAGAAGGGGCCTAACTGACAAATCCTAGCCTAACAGGTTTCTAAAGACCAGGGTTAGTTACCATTTACTTAAGAAAAGCTTCAAAAATCGGTAGCTCAGACTTTAAACAATAAGGGACCTTTCATAAATAGCTCGAACTCGGATAACTCGAATTCTCCGCTAACTCGAACTAAATTTCCTTTCCCTTGACCAACATTTCGCCGAAGTTTACCCCGATTACTCGAATTCCCCGCTAACTCGAAGTGTTTTCCCTTCAGAGTTTGAGTTACCGGGGTTCTACTTATCTTCAAAAGATCAGAGGTTTCTCAGAATCTACCCCTTAGAACGTTTTGAGACTTGCATTGTGAAAAGTTTAACCTGAACACATCGGTGCGATACCAAGAATATAACCATGCTAGATAAATTTTGGTAATTACAACTGAATTCTGTTCGACGGATTTGGGGGTTTTAAACCAGTTATTCCGGATCCCTCAACAACGCCTTTGTTCCAACAATTCAATATTTGCTTCATGATAACGATGTTGTAGCGCTAGCTGAGAGAGTATTGCACAAAAAGTACAAGCTCTGACAAAATGTTGTAAACCATTACAAACCACCAAAGAAAAAAAAACGCAATTACAAATTCCCAACCTTTGCTCCAATTGATCCATCTCGTCCGTCACAGCCATCTCTTCCTGTTTAAGAAAAAATAACAACAGTCTCATCACATTATCATTCGAAGCAAATTTTTCTTTCTTTTCATCGGCCGAGAGCCCACCACCTGACCTGCAAATAACTGCCTACAAATAGTGTCTGCTCATGCGCAATGCCGTTCAATTGTACGGTTTGGCTGCAAATCACCGTCACTCACTCACTCAATGAGAAGACACACAGGGCTTGCACTGTAAGTATCCCGGAGAGCTCCATACAATTCCTTATAATTTTGTTATAAGGAATTGTATGGAGCTTTCGAGGAGACTTTTCTTCATTAGCTTAGGCGCGGCGGATTTTGTCACGTACGATCAGCGCGAGGTGTTTTTCCAGACACCCTTCTGTCAGGAAAATGTCATCATATGAAAGCAAACCAGACACGATCGCGTCAGCAGGCCGAAGCCGGAAAAAATAAAAGGCTTTTCTTCTTCCATTTCAGAGGTCAGTTTTGTTTCGTTCTGGTCACAATAATTCAGGTTTTTAGGTTGTAGGTAATAACATATTGTCTTATTCGGTTCTCAAGGACCTTTAGAAAACGAGATAAACGAGATAATTGACTAGAGAAAGAAGCGTGAAAACGCTTTTTTGGAAGAAAATATTTTTTAATTCCCGCAGCGATTTTGCGAAATCACGAAGCGCAATATATTCAGTTTCTTCCAAAGCCGTCATGATTAAGTAGTGTAATGCCATCACAACTAAAAATGAATTTAGTTTGTATCGCAAAAGCCGCGAAAATAGAGATGAAAAAAAAAATGGATCGGAAAAATTAATAAAATCACCAAGAAACCGTCTCGCGGGATCTTTGTCAAACAAACCGTTGGTACGGTTTATTTAACCTAACCTGGAAAAGGAGACGTCTGCACCCAGAATACATTTCATCCTACATGTAGTTGTGATTTCCGGAACGGACCTAAGGAGCCTCATTGCCGTAATATCTTCTACATTGCAGAAACTACAGCAGAATCGCCCTGCTCACGTGCTAACTTTTCGCTCCAATTATGACTATACAGTACCAGTGAATTGTTTCAAAATTTAAAGCGGCCGAAACTTATTTCCATCCGCGCGTAGTTAGTTAGTTGAGCAATAATAATGCACAGCACTGTAAATAACACTGTTCTACAATATCTGACGGCTTCGCGTTTTGTTCGTCGCTGCATGCGACAGGAGCACCCAACGACGATTTCCTCCAAATACATTGAAAACAGTTTTTAGGCTACCCAGAGTACTTTTAGATCTGTAGAAATGTATCCTAAGTGGCGCTATAAAATTCGCTTAGGTGTTCGGTCATCCTAGGGAAACTTAAAATTTTTCAAAATTATAAGGGCTTCAGTTTTATTTTCCCGAAAATTTTAGATGTAATTTAACGTATTACGAAAGTAAAAATTCTTCTGATTCTTCTTTCCATCACATTTTTGAATCCGAAAAGTTTAGGTCTCCTTTTTCCTACGAAAAATAGCCCAACCTTGGGTGTGAAATGTGGAAAATTAAACTTCAGAAATTCGTAGGGAATTTATAAGATAAGCTTCGAAAATTGTACGTGAATGGAACGGCCGTCTAGAAATTTTTAGCCGTCCTCTGGTATAAGAAAATTCTGGGCAAAATTTGCTTCTCCGAACAGACTTTCTACAGAAAATAGTCGTTGGGTGCCCCTGATGCGATTTAATCGCTTATAACCTAACAGAAAATGCATGAATACAATGCAAACAAGGTCGCTGTTCCACAACCACGCACAGAATTTTAAAAAAGAAGTCTTTCTTATAACGGAAGAGTGTTGTAGAACAGCTTGTCTCTGAAGGTGCGGCAATAATTTTTTTAAAGGAAAATTAAAAAACCTTAATTTAGAGAGATGTATCTTTACACAAGGTCTCAATGTAAAGCAGGTTTTTCATTGTTATATCGTTGTTATTTTAGTTTTTATCTTAGATTCATTTCTAGCTTAGTTATTAGTAGTTACTTTTCTATACTTGAATGTAAATGTACCTGAAGGAAATACCGTGTATTACCTTACCTTAGCTCTGTGATGTGTGTAAATTTGTCTTTTGCTATGGTTTTAGACAATACGACTTCTCCCGACTATCAATTGTTCGTCAAAACAAGCGCGATAAAGAAATAGTCGAAGTATCATGGTGTAGCACTTTATGATAAAGTTTTAACTGGAAAACTTGTTGCCATCTGATGTACACCTGTATAGTCTATGTTTGTAAGCTCTGCCTAAAGAATCACTGGGTCTATAGTCTGTTGGCCAAAAATCAAGCTTTGTTTCCCCTAAAAAATTGACACCATATTGGGCCCCGAAAGACGTTAAAAGTTCCTCCATAATAGAAGAGTTTTTGCTACAGTTAACAAACGTTTGGCTTACATGAGTTTCCATGTAAAAGTGCAAAAACGTATCAGCATAATTATAGCACAAAAAAATTGTCATCAAACTCCTGGCATGTAGCCTGAATAAGCCAAGCAAATATAAATAAAGCATACAACGAGAAATATTAGTCAAATGGTCACGTTAAGTAAATTAAAATTCAGTTTGCGAAAGAAACTTATCGCTTGAATCCGTGTTATGCATCGAAAAAGCGAGGAGTCATCGCATGACATTAGCTAACAGAGGTAATACTCACGAGTTTCCACGATTTTTCGCCGAGTAACAAATTTAGAACTTCAATTCTTACCTTACAGTGGCCGGTTCGATCATTTACCTTACATTTGCCAACACTAGTAAACATGAACAAAACGATGAAATCCGGCACTCTTCTTTCAGAAGTAGGAAGCCGCATGAAGTAAAATCCACCGATATGCGCTGCATTCTCACTACAAATATAAACATTTGTCGTGAAGAAAATACGACGTGGAGGAAAAAATGTCAGATCTTCGTCTCGGCAATGTATCCCAGCTACCAAGCCGACGTATCTCCAGAAGGTGGACTCGAAGTAGGACAAACCTTGTGATTTTTTTAGGAACCCTTTGCGCGCAAACTAATTTATTCTGGCACGAACTGAAGATTAAAAAAAATATGTGACTGAAATCTAATACACGACAAGAAAAT